GTAACGTCGCTCCAAAATTGCAGCCTTGTTCTCTTCAAAAATTTCATTGACAGTCTGTGTAAGTTCCTCCAGAGAAACTTCAACGCCTATTAAAACGTACAATGAAGTAAGCAAGACCGGTACTGTATGGCATTAAGGAAAATCCAATCTAAAACTAACAGATCTGATGATAGAAACAACAAAAACAAAACTAGTAAACAATATCCATTACATCTAACATTATCTCATAAGCATGAACGATTTTATGACATACCCACTCCACATGCTTCTTCAAATTCCTTCTGCTTATAATCCTCAGACGCAACATTCGAAAGAAACGAAAACGAAGCTTCTAACTGTGCTGGAGTCTTAATCTACAAAAGAATACTGTTTTAGTAATAATAATACAAATCCGCCACCTAAAACAATTGCGAAAACAGAAATTATGTTTCAAACCTTGGAAGAGACAACATATTCAAGTAACTTTGGCCGATGTTTGAGTGCATTTGCAGGGTACTTTGTGGCAACCTATGTGATACATGTATGGCAAAAGTCACCTCCAATTTTCATGTTTAAGAACATTATATAAAACACAGAAATTAACTAAAAAGGGAAAATCAACTTACCGTATATAACAAATTTCCAATTGTACGGTCACACCCGTCAGTTAAAGCAGCCTGAAAAAACAAATTGAAATGAAAAATTAATAGTATAAAATTAAAAATCCAAAAGAGAGAGAGAGAGAGAGAGAGTAAATCTAGAATCATACCTCGAGAATGACGGAAGTGAGATTGGCAGTGACCTTGTTATTAGCGATGGTGTTACGAGCAGTTCGTTCGTCTAAACCAATCTTCAAGAAGAGCTCTAAGATTTTGTCAGATTCTTCGCCTTTGACCACCATTGTCTTTCGATTATTTTGTTCCTTTTCTGATGATTTGGATTAGTTTAGAGTGTGTAGCAATGAAGGAGGCCCTGAAAGAGAAAGGAAAGGATAAATCGAGATATAAACCCTAACCAGAAAACGGAATCAGGCCAGGGACTAAGGAATGGGTGAATCTGTTGAAAAATCCGCGATACTTTTTGTTTAACAAATGCAAGTTTTATAAGATTACATTACAATAGATACCATTGAATTTTAGAGAGTGTATAATTTGTACCATTGACTTTTCATTTTATTTAATTTTAACATTAAATTTTAGTTTTAACTTTAATTATATTACTCGACTGTTATTTTAATAATGACATTGGCACTAGTTTCTGTCACTATGCTTATCTATATATTAAGATAATATTATTTTAATAAAATAAAAATTAATGATGATGTAGTTTTATTTTCTAATATCAAACTCACATTATTTAAATTTTAATCACAATACAAATTAACTTATTTTAGTGATTAAAAGGTCGCTATTGTTCTTAGAGATCAAAAATTCAAACACCTGTTACTGTAAAAGTAATTTAACGTACATTATCAAAAATAATTAAGAATATTTAAAACAAATATCATTTTATAAAAAAATTCAACGACCCAAATCTCACATCATTCCCTTAAATCACCTGTCACTACTGAGTATCCCAAATTTAAACTATTATTCTAAATTAAAGCCCCACCAAAACTTCAACATCTTCGTTCATCCCATGTATTATATAACCATCATCTTCCATTAACACTATAATCTAACATTGTCAGTGTCGATTTTTATTATCATTACTAATTAGGGATGGTAACTTAACCCGAATTCGACGGGTTTCGATCCGATCGGGTCGAATTTTTTTATAAAAAAAATCGGGTTCAGGTCAGGTTGGGTCAGATTTTTTTTTAATTCACTATTCGGGTTGGGTTTAGGGTGGAAAAAATCCGACCTGACCCGACTCAAAAAAAAATATAATTTTACCGTATATATTTAGGGATAATTACAATAATACCCCTCTATATATAATTTTTTTCAATTAAGTCATTGTTTTTATTGAATAAAAATATATATTTTTTTATTGTTTCGGGTCTAGTCGGGTTTCTAAGACATATATTCGGGTCGGGTCGGGTTTAGGGTGGAAAAAATCCGGTCCGACCCGACTCGAAAAATATATATAATCTTTCCCTATATATTTAGGGATAATTACAATAATACCCCTCTATATATAATTTTTTTTCAATTAAGTCACTGTTTTTATTGAATAAAAATATTTTTTATTATTATTTCGGGTCGGGTCGGGTTTCTAAGTCATATATTCGGGTTGGGTCGGATCGGGTGAAACCTTAATATCTTCGGGTCGGGTCACGGGTGGAGGATCATTTCTTCTCGGGTAGGGTCGGGTGACCCAAAAACCCGACCCGACCCATTGTCATCCCTATTACTAACACAACTTTCAATCCACCATCATTTACTCAATGTTACGTTCTTCAACCTCGTCGCCCACCGCACTTAAAACACACAATAAACACCAATTAAATCAGAACTTATATAAGTAATAAATAAAAAAGAAGAGAAGAGAATGAGACTATCCATTCGGCGTATACTGGATTAATAGGACTTTGTAACCTTCGATTAGCCAGTTTTAATAACGAATTGAAGCATCTTGACAATAAGAATAAAATAATTTGACTTTGAGGCAATTCAACTGTTGTAGTCAAATATTAAAAGTACAGAGGGTCAAAACTCAAAGGCTCATTTTCGCGTTTCAATAAGGTTTGAATGAAACTTAAACCATATAAAAGAGAAAGGAAGAATAAAATAGTATTTTTGGTAACTCCAATTGTAACATCCTAATTTTAACTTTCACATGAAATCATCGAAACGACTCACCCATTTTTAAAGCATTTTCTAACATTTTTTAAAAAATCATATAAAAATAAAAAACATAATATGTTACAAAAAAATAGAGCTTGTTGTTTAAAATCAAATACATAAATGTAATATAACAACTTGACTATATATCAAACCATAATCTTTGTATGTCTATTGAGTCGTCACCATTGTACTATGATATTTCAACTAAGACTCATATGATGATATTATTGTCTCTTCGTGGTCCACAAAACTTGTAACCTATAGATGTAAATAATTTGGAGATTGAGTCGTCACAATTGTACTATGATATTACTCATATGATGATATTATTGTCTCTTCGTGATCCACAAAACTTGTAACCTACAGATGTAAATAATTTGGAGATTAAGCTAACAAACTCAATGAGTACACATCTGCTCTACTATATTTCACGAGATTCATAAATATATGCATACAAATTAGATATAAAAATAAAAGCGTCGAATATAATATAAATATTCCTTAACTAGTCGTCAATACCTAAAGTATTTTCTCTAGTTTATGGAACATCATTTGTGATATCATTCTCATTTTTATGAATATCGTATTTATTATCATTTATTTGTACTCAAAAGTGCTATCAGTCATCTATTGACTCAATGACTCTATGTTTTATACTCATAATCATTTTACTAATAATAAGCTCTATGTTGTTACTTAGTATTAGATAATAGGCATCTATAATATCTGATCTTATCTAATCTTGGGTACTGCAATCAACAATAATACATAGTATCACATAACATTAAGTGTCATACATAAAATAAGTCTATATACACACGTCAATATCAAGGATGAGGTTTGATGTCACATAGTTGAAATCATACATCCATATACACATGTAAGCATCATAATATAATTCATAATTATTATTTAATATATTACCAATATTAGTGAATAACAATAATTTTACAAGCGATGGTCAATTTGTGTCAAATATTTTTTAAAGTATATTTAAAAGAAAATTTCTATGATAGAAAAACTATGTAAATTAAAATTTACACAAACATATCTATAATGTCATGTGTTGCACTTACGGTTTATGTTTTATGATTTAATATTTGGAATTTAGAGTTTTAGATTTTAGGATTTAAAATTTAAGTAGATAAATTGTCTAAAACAAACTGTACATATATTGCATATAATTAATAACTTATAAAATTATTTTTCATTGTATCAAATAATAATCGTAAATATAAATAACACTTGACGCAATTAAAACATGCTTATGAAAAAAATTCACTACCAATATATTAAGTAATGGTCTATTATAAAAAAAATATTGCATAAATTGTCATTCAAGTTTAGAAATTCACATGAATTAAGCGATTTTAATAATTAAAAAAGTAATTGTTATCTCTTGAGGTATTGAGTTCGAGTACGACGTCTATAGGGGTGTATGAGCGTTCATTATCAAATGGTTGATAATCACCGAACATATACTACATTTTAATCATTCAAAATTAATAAAAATAAAAACTATATAAAATAAAAGTAAATGTTCGAACTCAAATATTTGAAAAGAAAAAACAATTATTTTTATTATTGAGGTGTTCTACAAATTAATCTTGAATAAAATATTTGTTGAATTACTTTTTATTAATAATATATTAAATAATAATTATTTAAAAAATTAAAAGATAAATAAATAAAACTCTTATTACAATTTTAACTTTATATTTATGAAAAAAAATTCCAATAACCGTACGCACCGATAACACTATATATTACGTAATTACGTTAGACAAGATAGCATTGAGGAAAGAATTTGAATAGTAATATTTAAATTATAAGTTCAAAAATTGTATTTATTTAAATTGAATTGGTTTTTATTTATATAATATAAAATAAATATTTTAGATTTCAATTAGTGAACCCAATTAAAACAATATAAGATAATTAATAATTATTTTAATTTACTTGAATTTAAAAAAAAACTAAACTCTATCAAATAATATTAAAAAATAAAAATAATTTTTTATAAAATGAAATTAAAAATAAAAATACAAAATTAATACGAAAAAATAACAACTAAATTTGAATTAATAAAGCAGTAGAAATGCATAAAATGAACCGATTCTACACGAAGAGATTAAAAAACGAGGGTTTTATTTTATCAAACGGTAGTTACGCCGACCATAAACTCAAAACGACGTATCACCAGGGAGATCCTCTAATCTTAACACCATGGTGTACTTTAGCATGTAGCACTCCATCGAAGAATGAAATTACTAAAACACCCCCAGAAATCTCAATACCCGAACGTTAAAACCGCGATTGGCATCAGTATTTAGCAAAGAAGGAATTCTCAACGGGAAATCAAAATATATCACAACTCTCGAAGTGTTCTCCGTCGGTTCTTCAACGATTGAATTGGCACTGTGATTTTTGATGCGATCAATGGTGTTTTCTGATGAGAGGGAGATGGCGATGGGATCCCAGAGATTGAATCCTCTTCACAATTTCACGATGCCATGTTTGAAGTGGGGGAATCAGAGGTATCTGAGGTGCATGAAACTCGGCGATGCTTCCAACGCCGCCGTTGATGATCGTCATCTACGCAGTCGCTTCCATGTGGCTCAGCAACGCCGATCTCTCCCGTCGTCGAAATTCGAGGGCTTGATGGTTGGTGGGAAGAAGCGGCAAGAACCGGAGTCGTATCCGAGCAACGATTATGGGAGGGAGCGGCGGTTGAGGGTGTCGAAGGGAGAGGCGGCGGAGGGGATCGAGGCAGTCAGGGAGAAGATTATGAAGGATCTTAAAACGGCGGCGGATAAGATCAAAGATGAGATTTTTAGAGACAAAGCTTCCGGCGGTGATGAGGTGAAGGCCGATGAGAATGAATTCGAAGACCCTAAACTCAAACGGAAAGAGAAAGAAAAAGAGAGGGAAGAATTACCAGCGGTGGAGGTGGAGGCGAGGCCGTGGAATCTAAGGAAGAGGCGCGCGGCGTGCAAGGCTCCGATTGACGGAGGAACGAACAACAACTACAATTCCCCGACGAGGAATGAGGTGATCAACTCACTCAGAGTAAGAAACAGAGGACAGCCGGTGGTGTCGGTGGCGAATGAAGAGATGAAAAGGGCACGGCCAGAATTCTCGGTGTCGCTGTCGAAGCAAGAGATCGAGGAGGATTTCATGGTTATGGTTGGGCGTCGCCCTCGGAAGAGGCCAAAGAAACGCGCACGTTATGCTCAAAAGGAATTGGATGTAGGTTTTGATCTTTCTTCTTCACTCTTTCCGGTAAAGATTTTCCGATCGTTTTTTTGCCGCCTTCAATTATAACTGACCTTTTCTTATGGTCGTAGTCATTGTTTCCCGGCTTACAGCTGACGGAGGCGACGGCGGATTCGTACAAGATTCCGGGGCTCATTGAAAACGGCAATGTAAGTTCAAATATCCCCTTAATGCCACAACTTCAAAAAAAAAAAAAATTCCCCCCTCTGTTTTCAACAATTTCTCAGCAACCAAACAAAAGGTTTTCAATTTCTCTAAAAATTTAAGATCTTTAGAATCTAAAAGTGTGAGCTTGACTTGTTGATTAATGGTGCTTGTGCAGAGATGAAAATCCATGGATTGTTTGCGTTAGCTGATTTATGGTAATTTCCTGACGATAAGTAGTGTTAAAGAGTATCTTGTGCAAATCGGGAATATTTCCTATAAACGTTGAAATTCCCTGCAACTTTCTGGTGTAGTTTCAGTTTTTGGCGATGCTCTTCATTAATTTCTTCCTTTGTTTAAAGCTAAATAATGTTGTATAAAGAAATTATTTGACCTTCTTTGATGTTACAATGGAAGCTCTCGTCCATGCTTTGCTCTGCTTTTCATTTCATACTCTTCCATTTTAGTTTTCATTATCTTATCACCTTCGTCCACCTTTCTCTTTCTCTTTTTACTTGTCCAGCAACCGGGACAAGATTTCGCTGAAATAAATCATCAATAAAAATTATAAAATCATATTTAAAATATATGAAAATTCAAAATTTTCAGTAAAAATTTATTACACTTAAATCCATTAATGTATGTAACTATATACTTTCTGTCTTTCGGTTATCATACCACAATGTCCTTCAACCATTGATTTTCGTAGATGAATATGAATGTGTCATAAACAGATAATATTTTCCTACCGATAATAAATCGACCCATATGAAAAAGAAGGTATTAATAGGGGCATTTTTAATGTTTGAAATTTAAAGTCAAATTTCATAATTAATTGTAGAAAAGATTTATTTTCATTGAATAATTGTTGTGGTGGTTAACTTCATCATACTATAATTATCTGTTTTCTTCACTCTCAAATCATCGTGCTACAATAACCTTTTTTCTATATTTAAAAAACATGTTTTATGATAAATCTTTTATTATTTCACTTCTAAATAAATGTTTTATATTTAAATATATCAAACCTTTGGTTAAGTATTAAACAATTACTTATAAAATAAAGGCTTAAATGCACCATTGCCCCCCTAAACCATACCATTTATATCGAGCTGTCCCTTAAAGTGTTTTTCGAGACGTTTTGTCCCCTGAAGTTTAAATCATTATCTCGTTTGCCCCAAACCATTAACTCTGTTAAAAAAACACTATGTTAAAAAACACGTGGATAAATTACATATTTGTCACCAAATTTGATCACCAAACTTTTTTTTAAATCATTACTAAACTTAAGTTTTTTATTCCAAATTGGTCACTTAATTTAATTTGATTTATTTTTTTACTCGACACAAATTAATTTATAATAATAAATAATATTATAATGTAAACAATAAATAATATATTAAGTTACTTACACTTTAAAATTTTAATAAAAGAAATACTAAATGATAAACTAAGATATCATAAATATTTTAAGAAATAAAAATATGAACATGTCATTATTTATTTGTAAATAATTTTATGTGTTTTGTAAAACTTAAATATCATAATATACGATAGGTTTAAATTTTAAAAAACAAATAATAAAAGTTGAAATCTATCAAATATTCAAAATACGAGATTTAAATTTTAAAAAACACATATATTTACAAATGAATAATGAATCGTTCATACTTTTTATTTTTAAAAATATTTATGATATTTTAATTTAACATTTGATATTTCTTTTATTAAAATTTTAAGTACAAACAACTTAATATGTTATTTATTATTTATGTTATAATATTATTTATTATTATAAATTAAATATATATTTCAAGTAAAACAATATGTGACATAAATGAATTTTTATATATTAAAAACATAAAAAATAAATCAAATCGAATTAAGTGACCAAAACGGAACAAAAACTTAAGTTTAGTGATGATTTTTTTAAAAAAATTAGTTTGGTGACCAAAACATAACCACATGAATAGTTGAGTGATTAAATATGTAATTTACCCACGTATTTTTTTACTACAGTTAACGGTTTGGGCAAATGAGGTAACGGTTTAAACTTTAGAGGGCAAAACGTCTCGAAAAATACTTTAAGGGACAACTCGACACAAACGATATAATTTAAGGAGCAATGGTGCATTTAAGCTTAAAATAAAAGGAAATTAATAGATGTACATCTAACAAATTTTTTTTATTTTGAGTTATTTGTGTTAACTTAAATTACGGAGTTGATTTTTATTTTGAGTCAAATTTGAATTTTACCAATTTGAAAAATCAAAAAATTAAATTTTAGAATAATGTTGTTTCGATCTTTGACAAAGTAATTTGATTATTTTACAATTTAACTCATGATTTCTTTATTTATTCAATTTTTTCTTTATTTTAAGTCTTTTTTTACTAAATTTAGACCACATACTCCTAAATCAATATAAAATACATGTGTAGCTTCAAATTTTTTTTGCTTGAAAATATTTTTCTATATTTTTCTATTTAATTTCTTAACTTTGCATGATTTTCTCATTTCTTCAATTTCTCTTTTATTTTAAGTCTATTTTCACTAAATTCAAACTATTGCTCCTCTACCATTATGAAATACCTATATAATTTAAATTCTTACTTTTTAACAATAAATTTTATTTTTTTCAATTCAGTCCCTCAACTTTTTATTTTATTCAATTTGATTCTTTGACAATTTTTTTAAATTATTTCTTCTCATCAATTCCTTGACTTCTTTACATTCTCAGGATTATACACACTATTTATTTCCCATCTAAACAAATCAATACTTTGTACTCAAAATATTTTTTTTTAAAACATTATAAATATTTTTAATTTTAGTTGATATTTAATTTATTAAATAACATAAAAAATTTTGCTTACAAATGTGACAGAAAATATGAAGAATTGTATATGTATAGCTTATATGATCAATGATAATTGTTTTAGTCAAAATCAATTTGTACTATAATTTTATCAATAATTATAATTAAATTTAAAGAGAATTTTTACCGACTCGACTTGATTCGAAAAATTTCAAACAAAACTCAAATCATAAAATAAGAGATAACTCAACTTTCTTTTATTTGATAGATCAAAGAGTCACGAGTCCCCTTCTTTTAAAGTCCTATTTCAGAACCTTTTTAGTGGTGGAAAATTGATTTTTTACCCGTAAGTAATATTAAACATTTAAAAATTAATTTAAAATTAAAATATGATTTTTAGTTTAACCAATTTTTTTTAAAAATTTTAACTTTTGATGTGGAAAATCATTTTTGGGATAAATTATATTTTTATCTTCAATTATTTAATTTTAATTGGTTTTTAAATTAATACAAATACATATATAATTATATATTAATTATTTTTATTAATATTTAAATTAATTATTAGATATAAGTCGGTAGAACTGTAAAAGATTTTTTATGCATTGTCATCTAAATATTTTTATTGAATATAAATCAATATTCTTTTTACAGTATTTATGTTGAGTATACAATCATTTTATTTTAAATTTATTTCGAATTTGTTATGAACATGTAATGATTATGTTTATGATTTTTATTATAATTTAAGTTGATTTATTTCCTATATCATAATGTTAATTTTAAAAAAAAATCTATAATAAATCTGAATAATACCTTACCTAATTTAATCGATTAATAAATAAAAAGCGAATGGTTAAATTAAATATTGTGTACCCATAATTTTATTTTAAAATATAAATAACTAATTAAAATCAAAATTCCATAAATAAAATTAAACCAAAAATCAAAATTTTACATATACAATTACACCAATTCTAAATTTATGTATCACATAATTAATCAAAATTTATATATAATTCTGATATTTATTCCATTTGAGAATACAATATCGCATACTATTGAACTTAATTAATAACATTAGAATTCGTATAATTAGCATATATGAATTTACTTTTATTAGAGAAACTAAAAATTAGACTAGATAATTAATATATACTGATTAATGCTATGGATACAAACAAAACACCTGTCCTTAAAAGATGGAAGTTCAACTTGATTATCGTCAAATTGAGTTTGATTTTTCTATAAACCCGAATGACTAGAAATGTTTATCCAAGGTAGGAGATCAAAGTATAAGTACACTTACATTAATATCATCATACTTCGACACTAAAACAAAATTGAATAAAAAAATACAAGCCAAAGCTTATAGCAGGCAGCAGAGTACTAGCCGATATTTCATGTAAAAAGAAAACACAAGAAACGATCTAAAATACCAATTTCACCCAAGCTTTTTATCAGATCCCATTAGATTCAAATTGAACCATTTCTTTTTACCTGATTTATCCTTTCCCTCCGAGTTTCCATCTTCCGTAGTCGGACTCTCGGTCTCACCCGGAAGTTTGCTGCTACTTCCGTTACTTAAACTGCTGGTACCGGTCGGCGGTTTTGTTACAGAGAATGTAGAATGGATGCTATCACGCTGTTTCAGCAGCTCGTCTACCTGTGTTATACATGTCAAAAACTGGAAGTCAAATCGATATGTTGCTCTAACTTCATTGTTTTTAAGGTACTCATGTCCAATACCGATATTCGATGCATATTCATATATAGGTATGAGGATGTGACCGTGCTGGACATTTACTCATCAAACATGTACATGACTCTAGTTACAGTTTTGATCATGAAGCACTTCGAGAAATAAGTGAGCCCAAATGAGCAATTACTTGTTTGGCAAAATCAAGAAGCTTGGGAGCATTTCTATAGCCATTATCAATTATTAGAATGTATATGTGCAACTGTGTGTGTGGAAGCCAGTGCATTAAATGTACATATATAGAGAAAAATATATCATTATATGTATACAGTCAGCCTCCTAAACTGATCGGATTGCATAAATGCAGGAAAAACAATATCACTGCAAGATAAAAGTTTACAAGCATACCGACTGCTTTTCTTGGGTGTACCGGTCTGTCACTTCTTGAAAGCGTGCCAATGCCTACAAAATATCCCACCATAATCATAAGATAGTGTGAAGTTCATGATTATAACAAGCCTCAAACAGAACATGGTTCGATTAATACTTTTCTGTACTCCGTTTCAAATTGGCGCAACTCATTTCTCTTTCTTAGAATCTGAGCTTCAATGTCCTTGAGCTTCTGAGTGGTATCCTCATATGACTTTGCACAAAGTGCCTCGATTGTGTAAGTTGCAGTCTTGAAAAAATTATCTCCTGAGAAAATTCAGCCAAACCAAGTCAATCAATAACAAAAATATTCGGAAACACACTTTAAACAAATTAACATGCAAAACAAACAGGTCGAACCATAAACTGCGAATATATGTGTGCCAGCTTTTAGCTCTGAAACTTCACAAGGTTGAAGGCC